CAAGTTTTAATTGATGATGAAATCGGTATAAAACATTTCATGGGTCTTTATGATATTTGGCATTTTGAAGGGGAAGAAAGGGGTCATTGAAAATATTGTATTCTAAAATAGTACTAAGAATCGAGTTGATCGGATATTCAAGCGTATTGGACGAAATATCGTTGGTTACAACAGTTTGAAACTATAAGAATATCAAACATCTTTTGGGATATGGAAGATGGAAATTTTTAACAGAGATTAATGGATATATTGATTTTTTGGAGCTAACCAAAACTTTGAATTATTGGAGCTAACCAAAACTTTGACATAAACCTCCCCAAAATTCGGGCGAAATTAAAAAAAATATTTTTAGAACAGATTTTTTGTGATTTATCGAGATTCTGTTCCATATAAGGCCCTTGATACCCCAAGGTGCTAATTAAAATTTATTCAAAAACGATAAAATATTTATTTATTTATTGTTTTTTTAATTTCATAATCGATGCTACATAGTTTTAATATATTTTCCCAATATTCTTCCAATTTGGTATAATTTATTTAACATTTGGTCACCTTTCTCGCTAGAGTTCCAAAAATGTTGGCCAAAAACGAGATATTGGTTTATTAATAAATTGTTAGTGACATTTTTGTCTTTATATTAGGAAATTCGAATTTTCATTCTTTTATTTTTAATTTTTTTTTTACAAAATTTTTATTGATGTTGTGGGCATTGTTTGATGGTCACAGCGATAGTGGCACAAGGTGATGATTTATGCATAGATTTATTTCGTATGGCCCAACCATTGTATGTGACAATGTGAGCCACGCTATCTCCCTCTCGGTGTGTGGGGATCTTCATCATGCATAATTATAAAAAGATTTATGATCTACACTCCCAAAAATGGATCATTATCAGCGATTATCTTGAAATCCGTTTGATAAACCCCACTCGGTACAGTTATAAACACGAATTTTCAATAACAAAATTAAGGGGAGAGACAAGACCGAAATTGACTAATCTCCGTGTAGAGATAAAAGTTTGACTAGAAATTGTAATTAACATGAATCTTTCTTTGTAAAAGTTATCACAAAAAAATTATAATAATAATAAAAAAAATCATAATAATTTGACAGATATTAATAGCAATATTTGGAGGGTTTTTATGGTCCATACAATTCTTGTGGACAAAAATCCACCTGTTATGGAGAATATAAACTTCTGTGTCACACTCACTAACTTTTGGGGAAATAAACTATTAAAAAAATGCCTTACTTAATCCAGAATTCGTTGTAGAGACCACAGTTTGTGTAAACACCATAGGTCTTTGTAAATATCAATTGGTCCGTATAGTGACCACAGGTTGTATATAGAGACCACAGGCCTGTATAGAGAACCTCAGTTCTTTACAAAGATCAATTGGTCTGTGTAGAGGCCCTGAGGTCTTTATAAATACCAATTGGGCTGTATGGAGACCCTCACGTCTTTATAAAACCAATTGGTCTGTATAGAGACCTTCACGTCTTTAAAAAGACCAATTGGTCTGTATAGAGACTCTCAGGTCTTTACAAAGACCAATTGGTCTGTATAGAGACCCTCATGTCTTTATAAAGATCAAGTGGTCTGTATAGAGACCTTTTGGTCTTTATAAAGACCAATTGGTCTGTATAGAGACCCACAGGTCTTTATAAAGACTAATTGGTCTGTATAGAGACCACATGTCTTTATAAAGACCAATTTGTCTTTATAGAGGACACAAGTCTTTATAAAGACCAATTGGTCTGTATAGAGACCCTCAGGTCTTTATAAAGACCAATTAGTCTGTATAGAGACCCTCAGGTCTTTATAAAGACCAATTGGTCTGTATAGAGACCCTCAGGTCTTTATAAAGACCAATTGGTCTGTATAGAGTCCCTCAGGTCTTTATAAAGACCAATTGGTCTGTATAGAGATCCTTAGGTCTTTATAAAGACCAGTTGATCTGTATAGAGACCCTCAGGTCTTTATAAAGACCAATTGGTCTGTATATAGACCAAGGTCCTTATATAGACCCTTTTTGTCTTCGGCTATGTTTTATATTTTTAAAAATTTTCGTATCTTATTGAATTTCGTTTTGGGTGACTTTTAGTAATTCCTAATTTTTGTCTTATAGGTGTTGAATGCTATGACAATTTGTCAGGACCAAGATGTGGCCGTTGTCCCCTAGGCATGGTTGGTGATGGTAAAATTTGCAAACCAGGAGTAACATGTGCCGATCGCCCCTGTTATATGTAAGTATTAAAAATGGATTTTTAATTAAAAAAAGGTTTTCTAAAGAAAACAAAAGTGGTCAAAACTCCATAAATTATAAAAAAATTCCCTTTCAGTTCAAAATCCCACAACTAAGAACCAAAACAAACGATAAAAGGATTCCATTTCATTATGATTTTATTGTCAAACAAGGTCGGTGTATTATTTATGTTCAGGGCCCAAAGAGACGCCGACTAGCATATTTGCCTTTGTGGTTGCGAGTTGCAGGTTTATGGCTTTGCGGGGGTTTTGTTTATAGAACGTTTAATGAATATCCATTGTTTTGGCCAAATCTAAATGGCTCATAAATTCGTTAAAAGTCAAAATATTAACAAAAAGATTCTGATGGCCAGCAACAATGGTAGTGGCGGTCATAAAAAGAAATCAAATCTTAAGCGATGCCCACAATGTTGTTTTAGATAATGAAAGGATCAACAGGTGATCCGCTGCCCAGCATTGTCTGATGAGTTGACATTCTTGGAGTTTTCAAGAGGGGTTCTTTAGTTCACGTGTGCCTGTGAGTGTGTGCGTTTGAGAGAGTTATTGTTTTTATTGGAAATCATGTCCCATTGTTGTTTTCTTAAGTGTTTTGATAATTTAATGGCCATTCGGGCTAATAAAATGTCTTTTAAGACGCCTTTACAAAATCTTAAATCAATTTTAGAAAAAACATTTTTGATAAGCAAAGGAGGTCGCGTTAAAGGGAACATCATTTGAAAATGACCTGCAGAGCGGAACCTTTCTTTCGAATTTCATTTGAAATAGACTAGGCACACATCCATAACACAAGTTCTTGACATAAGTTGTTTTTGCTGTTGTTTTTTCTATTTTTGTGTTCCCAAAAATATAAATTATATTTTTGTTAGTTTTTCTTCCAAAGGGCTTTCCCAGCCGGGTAGAATGCATAAATATTTTTTTTATCGTGTTCCCCCTGATGGGAGCTGCATAAGTTGGGAGTGTGGGGAAGAGGAGGAGGAAAAGTGTGATACAGTTGTTGTAAAGAATCTGTGGAATGACAGACCGGCTAACATATTATGCAGGTCTTTAAATATTTCGTTTTTGATGCGATAATGAAAGATGACATTAACGACATGTCGGCTGATACAATAATAATAATATGGGTCGAATAGGCCAATCAGGCCATGAAAGCATAAGTTGGCCAGAAGATGAAGGAAAAGAAGAAGACAAAACGAATGCAAACACACCATGATGTCTCCCATACTCGGCGATTATGTTGACAACTTGGGGTCGAGCATTGGGGTAAACAAAAGAACTCTTTATAGTGTCGTTGTCTGTCTGCTCAGGCGTTCGTTCGCCGGATGGACGGACATCCATTCCATTTAACAGCATTCATTTCACATTTTATGCAAATCAATTCCATGTTAAGAGCTCTACAAACAAACCAGAAAAAATGTCCAGCCGTGGCAACTGACCAGTGCAGGAATGCATATGAAATATCTGAAAAGGGCTAACAGGGGGGCATAACCGAATGAGGTGTAGTCTACAGGTCTTCTACAGGTCACACATATATAGGTGACCTTCTAAATACTCTTAGAGGACCATTTTTATTGCAAACCACATTTTAGGTCGTCTATAGTTAGAATACAAACCTACAGAAGGGTCTATAGGTCCGCAATAAATTCTATAGATCCTCTACAAAAAGAAGACCGTCCATAGGTCCTGTACAAATGGATACCCTTTCTTGGTCTTCTATAAATAGAAAATATAGGTATTCTTTAAAAAGAAAAAAGAATGACAAGTCCCCTATAAATAGAAGTATTCATACAGGTGGATTGATAAAATATTGATATTCTGGATTTAAAGCGTGGATTTTTATATAAACGGAAGACTTTCTATAGATTTATAAGCAGGGACACATGAGAGGATTTCTAAGTTGTTTGCAGATTCTCAGGAATATTTTTCAGGCAGCGACAAATACATTAGCTTGGATTTTTAAGAATTTTTTCAGGGGCTAGCAGATATCAAGCTGAGGCAAAAGTTTGGATTTTTTTCAATTATCGATCCAGGATAAAATGTGGTTTTAAGAAAATATTTTTCAGGGACTGGATTTTTTTCAAAAATTTTTCCAGGAATATTAAAGGATATTTTTTCAGGGTCTTAATCCGATTTTTCAGGGCCGGAATTTTATGATTTTTTTGTGATTAAGGGGAATATTTTTAAGATTTTTTTCAGGGCCTTCCTTTAGATCCTAACTGAGACAAAAATCGTGGATTATTATATAAATGGTCAGGAACTAGCAGATACGTTAGCGTGGACAAGCAGATTTTAGGGTTTTTTTCGCGGCCTTCCTTAAGAGCCTAACTGAGACTCAAAGCGTGAAACTTTGACCCCTCAGGTTCAAACTGAGACAAAAGCTTGGATTTTTTTAAAATGTCGAAAGTGGATTTTAATGAATATTTTTTTCATGAGCTTAAGCTATGGGTTTTCTGGGTTTTATATGGACTCAACGCTGATAGTTTTATGATTTAAAAAAATCCGGCCCAAGGCTTATTTTTTAGGAATATTTTTTAAGGATTTTTGAAAAAAATCTGGTGCAAGGCTAGCATTTTTAAAAATATTCTTTTTTAGTCCATATCTAAAAAAATTAGTTCATATCTAAGACATAAACGAGGATTCTAAATATCAGGGACCATTTGCTTTTTCAAATTTGCAGATTTTCAAATGTGTTAGGGCTATCCAAAGTTTACCGAATATAGCGTACAACCAAAAAAACAAAATGATAACATGGCGCACCTTGTTGCAGTATTTTGTACAAAAATATTCTGTTCCCATTGTCATCAACAACGTCGTCAGGCCATTGTGAGGCTGATGCTCCAGCAATATCTGGCCTCTGTTTCGGTGCCATTCCATAATAAAAAGGGAGATATCCATAACATTGCCCTGCACCAAAATGTAAACACCTACAACTATCAACGCCAGCTCAAGCACTTACTTAAAGTGTGATGGTGCAGGCCAAGACCAACGGTCGATGTCTACAAGCCCTTCCGACATCATATCAATTTCATTCAACGTTTTTTTTCTTGTTGTTGCTTTATTGTGCGTAAATATTTGAAGAGCTTGCTCAATGGCGGTTATCCAGCTAACTAAGTGAATGGATATGATTGTGGACAAAAGACAAGACAAGTCAAGAAGATGAAATGGAAATTGAAAACAAAAACGAAGAAGACTAAAGTGTTAATTTAAATCGATTTTTTATTTGGGTCTCCAAAGAAGCAAATGAAATGAAATGCACTTGATATTCAAACTAGGCACACGCTTATGGACCCTCCGTTGGATGTTAAAAGCTATTTTGGAATTTCTTATTTGGGCATTCCATATTCCATTAGCAGGGCGAACATCAAGTTCCGGCATATGGTGCTGTGAGTGGGGGGTTTATTTTTTCTTCTTTTTGTTTTTGTGAACCATCTTTTGACATTTATGTGCCATCAAGCCATTGTTATGGCCATTTTTATGAGTTTGCATTATCTTTATGGACGATTTATAACCATTCTTTTGGGAATGGAGAAGAAAACCAAAATGAAATGAAAAGAAACAACCCACCAACCAAGACAGACGACACCTTTCTGCATTTTTTGTATTTATTGCAATCCATCTAGCCATGGGAGCGAGCCTCCTTAACTCTTCAAAATATGTATGAAACTTTTTTTTACAAAAAATTATCATAACATTTTTTTTTGTGAACTTGGCATATCTTCTCAACATTATTGTCATTGATTTTAGTTTAACCTTAAAAATTGTTTTTTTTCATTGATTTTAGTTTAACCTTAAAAATTGTTTTTTTTTTTCATTCATTTGTATGACAAATAGTATTTTATGCTAAAATGCTTGATAGCTCTTTTGTTTTAATATTTCTTCCCCCTTTTTGGGTTCTCCATTTTGTTGGGGAGGCCATGCAAATGTTGTTCGCATTCGAGTGTGGGAGTTTCTCCTTTTAATTTTGTCTTCTTTTGGTGAGAAAATCACCGAAAAAATATTGAAAAGAGAAATATTTCTTCATCTGTGGGCAGTGGTTGCCGTTACAAAATTAATTTATTTTTTTCTTTCTTTCTTCGCTCAATGCTTGATTGGTAATTTAATTCATGGCCTCAATGAAAAAAAAAACACCGTCAAGTCTCTTACCTTTTGCAAGTGGCTTTGATACGCATGCGCACGCCGTTCCCTACTTAAATTGGAAATTTTTTTATTGATCCGAAGAAAGTTGCACAAATTAAGTGTAAAATTGTAAGCAAGTTTTTTTGGAAAACAGTGGTCGTTATTCGACAAGTGTTAGTAGCCTATATAAATACAATATCGTAAGCAAAATGCAGGAATTAAGCGCCTCATATAACAACTTTGAATAAGCTTAGGCAAGAACTGAGATTTTTCTAAATGTCGTTCCAGGATTTTAAAGAATATTTTTTTTTGATTTTTTTCGAATCATTGAGAATATTTTTGAGGGCTTTCCTGTGACATAGGACGCGATTTCGGGTCCAAGGATTTTTGAAAAAAATGTAGCTCCCAGCTAAGACTCAAACGAGGATTTTTAATACCATTTGATACATATCTTCTATTTTCTTCGCATTTTTGGGAGTATTTGAAGTTTACCGAATGTAGCGTACAACAAAAACAAATTATACCATGACGCACCTTGTTGCAGCGAGGATTTTTAGAATATATTTTTCAGGCACTAGGAGATGCACAAGTGTTGATTTTTACGTACATTTTTCAGATTCAAGTTGAAACAATAGCTTGATTTTTTTTACAAATATTGTCCCAGGATAAAATGTGGAATTGAAAGAATTTTTTTTCAGAAGCCTAAGTTAAGATTTTTTTCTGGGTCTTATATGGATCTAAATCGGGAAGTTTTATGATTTTTTAGTGAGCAAATAAATTATTTTTAATTTTTTTTCGTGGCCAAAAAATACACGATAATCCTTAAAAATATTCTTTTAAAAATCCGCGCTATTCCTTAAAAAATATT